TTCTCACTGCTGCACTCTGCCACAAGATCCTAATCAAAACAACACAGGGAGATAAAATGTTTTCGTTTCTCTTTCCAATGACTCTCCCCTAAGACTCCGGGTTTTGCCTGCCAGTGATAACACAGATACTACTTGGTATCTCTCGTTTTGTTCTGTTGTTTTGCTTTTGTCTGGCTCAAAAAAAAAAAAAAAAAAAAAAAGTTCATGGCCACTGGGGAGAAAAGAAGGAGAAACTATAAAAATGTTCAGTGTGCCTTTTTAAAGCCTGTGATGTAGAGTTCAAGAGACCTACTTAGGTGGAGGCATCTCGCCACCTTTAGTGTGGATGCCCATCTTTCTGTATGTGAGATTTTTAACTCAAACAACCTGGGGACACTCACTTTAACTTAGAACGCTGATCTGTTTGCGAGCTCCTCCAGACTGCTGCAGGGGGATTATCCTCCTGAGCGTGGGTTCGCAGTCTCCTCTGGGGTGTAATGATGTCATGTTTGCCGAGTGCTTTGAAACTTCTCAGAAGAAAGGCAGTGCACAAAGTCAAGACATTCTTCACACACTATGTAAGACAGAGCCTTCATTTTTTCTGTTTCATATTTAGAAAACTGCCCCTCTAGCCAGGCTATGCTATAAAAGGAAGAGAAGATCTTCCGTGACCTTCCCAGATTTTCTCTTGAGTGTTCTGAATAGTCTTTATGCCAACCAGCCCTCTCTCCCTTGCCTCTTTGTTCTTTCTTGGCATCTTTGGCAAAGCCAAGAGAGCAATGAAGAAATGTAAAGAGACAAAACTAAACCACCCTCCGTCCTCTCTGCAGTCACTGCTTCCCAGAAAGTTGCCTCTCCAGAGTTCACCAAGAGAACCGAAAGAACCAGATCAAAAGATCTGTTCGTATATTCATTCCAATTCCATTTCACAAACATGGCAGGCCTTCTAAGTATTTAAACCATAATTTTTACCCTTCAAGGTGCTTACTTCTGATGACAGGAAAGGAGTAAGTTTTGATTGCAGAGAAGGGCGTTGGTGATACTGGGGTGTTCGTGTTAAGAAGGTGAAAGGTGAGATTAGATCTAGGGCAAATCTTGGGTATGCCTCTTCTCCCAAACCCCCTTATCCCAATTCCAGTACTATCCACCTCTCCATCTCTATCTATAAAAGACCTCTGATCTTTGCTTCCAAATGGCCTTCCATTATCTTCTTCCCAAAGCAAAGCCAAGGCAATTTAGGAACAAGCTCTGATTGGGGTCATTAGCCATCCATCATCCTTCCATTTGGGTCAGTAACCAAGAACCACCCCTCACCTCCAGAAGGAAGCCCCTCCCAAAGGGTGAAGCTTTATATTTCCTTCACGTGCAAGAATTGTCCACCCAGAAAAACCATCAGACCCAGCCCAGAAAACTGCTGTAATAAACACACCTTTGGAGAGAGTTCCATTTCTCCTGGATCAGGGGAAATAATTCTTAAGATCTCAAAAGAGAATTCTCATTTCTAGGAGGTGCTAATTCTAGTCCCACCGTGGTTAGCACAACTGCAACCTGTGCTTTGGGATCCTATCAGATGATCAGCTGAAATCACTATTCATTTTGTTCAAAAACATACCTTCTCTCCCACACAATTTATTCAAGGGTTCCTTTAAGATTTCAGCGGAAGATCCAGCTTCTGCTGGAAGTGCTTCTCCAATTACAATGGAATCCCCTTAACTCTTGGATCTGTCTACCCATTTATTCCCGACTTCTGACTCCAGGAATCATTAAGTGGTCTTTCCTCTCTTAGATGGCAAACTCTGTCATGCCTCATAATTGAGTGGGCACTCGATAAATGAAGGCTATAGTGCTCTGAGGAATAATACACTTCCTGTTGGCAGCAAATCCGGGAGAAACTTCCTTAGAAGAAAGCACTGTCAATTACCACTTAACAAGCCTGAATTTTGGCTCCCAGAGAAAAAGCAAACCAAACAGTAACAACTCACCCCCTACAGTAGCCACATCGCTATCTGGCCCCTGTCCTCCAGTCACCTGGCAAGTGGCTGGCCCCATAGCAGGTCCTTGTTGGTAGACTGACTCATAAAAGCAGGAGAATGGTGATACGTAATCCATCACTGATATAGGTAGACGCCAGCTAGGTGCCTGACCGTCTGGCTCTGCGGAGCTTCTGACCTCCTGTGGTCCTCGGCTCTCTTACAGCTGGCGCATCTAGATGCGATGAGAGATGTCAGGCTGGGAGCAGGATGCACAGAGAGGACAGGGAGGCCGTTCTGGAACACTGGCAGGGGATTCACCTCTTTCTTCTGCTGCAGCCACCCCAACTTCCCCGTCTCCCCGAGGGTGAAGCTTCTTCCAACTCGACTACACAGCCTTCCTTCTACGCTACCCTGGGCCAGGCTAGAGCTCCACGCTTGACACCAAGTGATTCACAATTAGAATGCCAGTCACCCAGGAAGTTCACGCCCAGGCCCCATTTCCAAACTTTGTCATCGAATTGGTCTAGAGTCCAACTTCAGCGTGGATATTCTGGAAAGCTCTCCAGGGGATCCGAATGGGCAGGCAGGGCGCAGGCCCGCTGACCTCCTTCATTCCAACCCCTCGGCCCGGACCTGCAATCCCTCGGTCTTTTACAGGGAGTGCTGCTGATAACAACAACAATCAATATCACATTTAATAATAGTACCTCACAATTCCTGAGCATTTATTCTAGGCCAGGCACTGTTCCAAGTGCTTTACTCCTACGAATGCACTGAATTCTCATAAGAAGTGAGTGCATTTGTCATTCTTACGTTTCAGGTGAAAACACTGAGGCATAAGGAGAGGTTAAACAATTGGCCTAAAACTTCACAGCTAGTAGGTGGCAGTAGGAACCCAGCAAGACTGTCTCCAGCACCTTCTCTGTTAACCATTAACCTACACTGCCTCTCTGTATTCAATGCACAAAGGTTTTCAGCTTCCACAGGGGTGCCCTCTGGATCCTGTATGGATGTAACCATCTCCTCAGATAACCGTATTTCTGAATACACATATCTGCTCCCACTATCCCCTTAGCAAAAACCTTCTATGGCTTACTAACTGCTCGTGGGATAAAAATCCAAACAACATACAAATATACCTTCCTCGACTGGACTGGGCTACCCCCCTGGTATCTCCTCCCACCTTCACCCACTCTACCCTCCAACAACTCCGAAGGACTAGCAGTCCCTTCCATCCACCACAGAACCCTTGAGAACCAGGACTGTCCCCGCCACACTCTAGATACGGTTGTTATCGGCATTCGTACTGCTCATGAGTGTGTTTCTGAAACGATTTAGAGATGCAAAGACAAAACCTCCCCAAAGAGCCAGGTGGGAAGGAAGCATATTCATTTAGAAACTCAGCCCTTCAAGGGTGCGACCAGCAGTCTAACATGAATTTAAACCATACCTATAACAAGAAAACATTGGATACATCAACTCTCCACCTTCACAAAACCAAAAGCTTAAAAATGGAATTATCATGATGAGATGATATACGCTTACGGACCTTGCTGCATTACTCATAACTTGCAGATTAAAATTCTTACGTCCTATTAAGCACTTACACTTAGCTGGCTCCGTAGGTGCCACAAAGCCCCCATTTCCTTAGAAACTCCCATTGTTAGAGTGTTTTAAACACTACAGCACTACATTCCAAGACCTTCTATAAATTGCAGTTACGGCGAATGAGAACAATCCAGTTTGGGGCCAGAATCTTAGGAATTAGTTCTCAAGAGTTCCTGGAAAATAGGGGCGCCTGGGTGGCTCAGTCGTTAAGCGTCTGCCTTCGGCTCAGGTCATGATCCCAGGGTCCTGGGATCGAGCCCCACATCGGGCTCCCTGCTCCACGGGAAGCCTGCTTCTCCCTCTCCCACTCCCCCTGCTTGTGTTCCCTCTCTCGCTGTGTTTCTCTCTGTCAAATAAATAAATAAAAATTTAAAAAAAAAAAAGAGTTCCTGGAAAATAAAGTGAAACTGGTCCAGCACTTCACTCCTTCATTGAAAAACGGGTAAAGCAAAACCCAACACTTTGCAAAATACAGGCCACCCATGAGTGCACAATGCAACCGGACTGTGGATATCCTATATTGGTCTACTTCAATTTAAATGTAAACTACTTGTGGTTCGCTCTCCTTTTCCCAGGTCTATAAATCTCCCCACTACCCTCCGATCCCGCATTCGCATCTGTTTTTCTACTGGACAAGACCCAGTTTGTGCTTTCTTTGTTCAGAGAGAGAACATCTTTCTATTGGGCCACCTAGGTTCCAAATCACGTCCCCTGACCTTACTCATTAGGTGCTACACATTACAGAATCACTTGACTTCTCAGTCTAGCTCAGGATGTCTCAACCACGGCCCCAGTGACGTTTTGGACCAGACAGATCATTCTTTGTTGTAGGGGCCTGTTCTGTGTTCTGTAAGCTTTTGGTTTAACAGCAGCCCTGGGCTCTACCCCCTGCATGTCAGTCGTACCTGTCCCGGGAGGGGTCTCCAGACATTGCCAAACATTCCCCAAGGGCAGGATCACTCCCAGTCGGAACCACTGGTCTAGCCTCACACACAACCCATTTTGGAGTTTCACTCCCGCTGTAAACGCTTTCCCGTGTTTGGCCACGTTTTTTTTTTTTTCCTTTCTGAAATTGTTCAAAAGCAGCCTGCAAAAACAGTCTCTGGCCTTGGGATCTCTAAGGTGGTTTTCTCAGAATGTAACCCTCAGTAGGGGCTCGTTTGTATTGAGTCCATATCGAGCTGATTTCGGTCGAGGTCGGGGCGCGGAGTTGAGAACTTGGCCACGACTCACAAGAAAGCAGCTGTTAGGACAGGCCTTCCTAGTACCTGCATTCCTTTTGTGAATCGCCTCCGGGAGGGGAGGGGCAGGTTACTTCCGCTGGAAGATCACACATGGAGTTTTGCCTAACACCTTAGAGTAAGCACCCTACATCCCCCAAGGGGCCACCTCTCCCAGTCAGTTACTTGTTAGTAACAGAAAACTCAATCCAAACTGACGTACCCAACAAGGAGAATTTATTGGCTCAGGTAAGTGAGAAGGCCTACAGAACCAGCACTTGCGGGAGAAGCCGACCTCCAGGTGGGCTGAAGGTCAAGTTTGGGTGCCATCTCTCCGAATCTCTCAACGTCCACTTCTCTAGGACTCCGTTGGTCTTCAAATCGGCTTCTGTTGTTGTGGTACAATCACTGTACGAGTTCTGGTCCAAGGTCCATATAGCACATTGCTTCCAAGAGGGTGCCTTTCTAATGAAGCAGAAGTCCTGAGCGTCATTGTAACCGGACAGACCTGAGTCATAGGCTTAGGGCTGGAGCATCCCATCCATGTGGCCAGGACAAGGCCCCGGGCCGATGGGTTGAGGCCCTCGAATCAGTCACAGAGGCTGAGGGAGGAAAGTTATGCTGATGGGTTTAGAACGGTGCTTCTCAAAGTGTGTTCCCTCACCAATGGCATTAGCATCATCTGGGCACTTGTTATAAATACAGATCTTCAGGCCCCACCCCGGATTTGCTGAATCAGGACCTCTGGGGTGGGGCCCAGCCATCCCTGTTTGAATAAGGCCTCCAGGTGCTTCGGATGGAAGCTGAAGTCTGTGGCCGCTGGTTGAGACCCCATCAGGCCCTCCCCACGGAGCCTGGAGTGGGGTGAACCTGATGCACTTCACTGGGCTGTCACACCATCAAAAAAGGATACAGCGGAGGCCTCAGAAGTTACCAAAGCCTTTAAAAGGGGAAAGTTCATTTCACGTCTTCCCGTGGCACAGCTGCGGGGTAGAAAATGCAGTAATCAGAGCTTCAAACTAGCAACTGGTCTGACGATTACAGGGCTTGAGGCAAAGGAAACATCCAACGTCGCGTTTGCATTTTCTGTGGGTCCTACCCCACTCACCCCGAAGAAACTGGACAAATACACGTATGCGTATTTGAGAAAAGTAAAGCTACTTGGCCATTCAAACCGCATGGAAGAAGACATTCTCTAACAAAGTTTCTTAATCATGGCTCATCCTAGGAATCAACTGGAGTAAGATTATGTACACAGCCCCTTGGGACAGACACGAGACCCACTGAGCTAGGATCTCCAAGGCAGGAGCTGAGAACCTGCACTTTTTGCAGACACTGCCAGGGAGCTTTATGGATTATGGGTGTTTCTCGAAAACACTGTTCTAAGAGATACATCCAAAGAACTGGGGAGAAAAATCTCAGGAAGGAATTATATGAATATTTCTCAGCTCAAATAACAGTTTCTTTCTCTTATTTACCTGTTCCCCTCACTACCAGAGCCCCCTAATTGTTTTTCCTCTCGACTTACCTGCTTCCCAACTCCATCAGTCTCCATACCACTGCCAGAGGGAACGTTCTAGAACGCACTGGCTATCAGGGCCCCAGTCAAAACTCATCACAACCATGGCTTCCTCCAGGGAAGAGAACTAGATGTGTTCCCAGGGAAGGACTCAGCTGGGTGTTACTGCCAATATTCTATTACTTGGAGGCAGCAGTGGACTCATAGATATATATATATATATATTTATTTATTTACAGAAGTAAATTAGCAAATAAAGAGAGCCATAACTGTACTAATTATAGCAATGTCAATACAATTCTGGGCCCTGAGGATAAAACTAAATACATTTTTTTAAAGTAAAGAAATAGAATATGTCAATATCTCCGGGTATTCAGAGTATGCTTTTAAAAATTCTTTTTCGGGATGCCTGGGTGGCTCAGTCAGTTAAGCATCTGCCTTCAGCTCAGGTCATGATCCCAGAGTCCTGGGATCGAATACTGCATTGGGATCCTTGCTCAGCAGAGCCTGCTTCTCCCTCTGCCTGCAACCCGCCCCCCCCCGTTTGTGTTCTCTCTCTTTCTAATAAATAAAATCTTTAAAAATTCTTTTTCTCTGCATTTTATAATTATTCCTTTGTGAATCACATAATTTAATAAATTTTTTAAAATTAAAAAAAAAAAGTCCATCACCAGTCCTCGCCATGGCCTACAGGATGAAGGCAAAGTGTCGCTATGACATACAGATCTCCACATAATCCAATCCCCACCTCTCCTCCTTAGCCTTCTTCCCCACCATTAGCCTACTTGAAACTCACACTTGAAACATTCTGCATCTCTTGCATTTCCTTGAATACTTGATACTCTTTTGCCTCTGTTCTCTCTGCTCACGGCTGCTTTTCCTTCCCCATTCACCCAGTGCATCAGCCAGGTTAATGCCACATCAGGCTGAGGTAACAAAATCCCAGTAGATGAACACAACACAGATTTATTTTGCACTCACTCTGTGTTAAGAGGCTACAAGCCGTTTTGGTTTTTTTTAATTCTCCAAAGACCCAGGTAGTAAATATTTTAGGCCTTGTGAGCAACATATGGTTTCTGCTACATATTTTTCTTCTTTGTTTTGTTCATTTGTTGTTTTTTGGGTGGGGTTTGTGTGTGTGTGTGTGTGTGTGTGCGCGCGCGTGTGCAATCTTTTAAAAAACGTAAAAACCATTCTTATATTCACAGGCCATCCAAAAACAGGCCACTGGCCATTGGCTGACCTCTACTCTATATGACCATTGCCAGATACATGTAGACAGCAGAGAATTACTCATGTAGTCATTCACACTGGGTTCATGAAGCAATCAGATCTTGCATGTTTCTTGTCATTAGACAGCAGACAAAAAGCGAGGCTCTTATTCAAGTAATTAAATGCTCCAGTCTGCAAATGGCACCCTGCGACTTCTCACAAATAACTGCCCCAAATTCGTCCTTCAGTCCCACCCAACCATAAAGGGGCCGGAAAGTGCAACCCTACCGTGTGCCCAGCAGTAATAAGAACTGACATTACTTGGTCAAAATGATGACTCTACTCAGCTCAGAGTCAACTGTCCTAGAAAGCGTTTTCTGACGCCATAACTCCCCAGCCAGATTAACTACCCTTCCCCTATAATCTTATAGCACCTTGAACATCCCTTGGGCTGTGCTGTTTCTCTGCCTCCCCCCCCACCCCGTTCCTGAGCTTCCTCTGGTTGGCATCTCCCTATGCCCACTGCATAGCACAGTGCCGACCTCCCAGGGATGCTCAAAGCATGTTGCCTCAACAAAGAAATAAAAGTGGTGGACTGTGGGAGTGAATGGTTGCCTCTGCATCTACCTGAAGGCTTCTAAATCTAGCATTGTCAACTTTCTGAAACCAGTTGGTTCAACCACACCTGTCTCCACTCATGATAAATTTCTCATTTTGGTTATTTGGTTATTTTTTGTATTCATTAGGTCCATTTCTTCTTATAACTGTTTTCTCCTATCAATGCTTTGCAGAGAGCTGGTCCCTGAGGCCACAGAGCACTCGGACTCTATGTGGCTTAGTTTTGTTTTTAGTTTACAGGTCAGAGGGCAGGCACAGAGAGGCACAGTGATTTTCCTAAGTTACACAGCCAATCAGAGGTCCAGCTAAAAGTTATGCTTCGATTAAACAATAAAGCTACCAGATTGAACACAGAGCCTCAGCTAAGTTCACCAACAATTTATTTATATCCCTAGGAGAGGCAGAAAGCATAGTACATGTTCATCAACTGTAAATCTATTATACCATACCAGGGTTTAGCTTGTAGTACCCAGGCATTTATCTCTGAGAAAAATATTAAACACAAGCCACATGGACTGTTTATCAACACTGTGCTTTTTCATATTGATTCCACTCATCCCTCTACCACCTTTCCTCGTCTGTAAAGTGACACAGCTCATTCTCAGATGGTCTTTCAGAATCCTGAGAATATTGAAGATGATGTGCCCTGGAGGTTTTACCATCGCACCTTAAAGCCTGTTAGGTGAACAACACCTGCATGCATTTTCACTACTAAACGGCGTAAGGCAAATCTGAATTCAATTTCACATGCAACATGTGCATGGCTGCTGCAGTTGGTATCAAATGTACAATCACAGAGCGGGCAAAACGGTGTTCGAAATGAGCTCTAGTCTAACACTCCACCCACATACACAGCGTGAAGCCCCTTAATGCTTATCAGTCACAATCCTGATATCCTCTGGCCCCACCAAAGTGTATCCTGATCTGCAATTTTCCTTTTCTTGCCATCTCCTGGATACAGTAAGTTCCTAATAAATATCCCCTCTGATGGCTAGCCTTGACAAATGCCTAGAAGAACCAGGGCAAAGAGAATACAGCTAAGCAGTGCCCACCACGTCTCAGATCACCAGGAGAACACCGCTAGAACGTGGTCCTACTGAAACCTGCAAAGTTTGGGTCATTCGATATGAAAATTAAAAAAAAAGAGAAAAAGGAAAAGAATAACTTTTTAAAAAATATGTAAACCGTTTATTGAAGAAGGAGAAACAGCTCAGTGTGTCCTTCAACTCTTGTTAAGTGCTAAATAGACCACAGGAGACAATGCACCTCAACGAAGGGAAAGTGTGCAAGAAAACTGAAGTAAACACACACACACACAAAACAAATTATAGGCTCAGGTCCTGCCAGGCACAAAACAAGAATCAATCCTTAATAGGAATCTTGCCTCTACTTCCTTTTTTCCTTAAGCCTTATAATTAACTGTTACAAAGTGTATCAAGAAGAACAAACCTAGGTTCCCTTCCCCCCAAACAAGAAAAGGTTAAGCTTTTAATTACAGGCCCTCAAACTATCATTTTGTGCAATTAGCAATTAACTATAATGGTCGATGAGAGAATGCAGGGCTGCACTAGCAATTTCCCTCCTCCCAGGCTGGGTTATTTTAGTCCCGTTCTATGACAGAGAACCAACCACAAACGCACGCACCCTCACAAACACTCTCTCATTTAAAAGCACATGTAATTTTTAGCGAAGACGGCACCTCGGCCTGCGATTGAGACAGGCACCGGAACCCCTCCTCGGAGCAGCCCGAACGTTTCGAGCCTGTCCACTCCATCACTTTCAGGTGGAGGGAGGAGGCCTGAGGAAGACGCTACCTACCAGCCTTACAGTACCAGCCTCTCTGGGGCGCAGGAGAGGGTGGCTGAGAGAGAGAGACAGAGATGCTTGTGGCCTTTGGCAGCCGCAGGTCCCCCCGGGCCGCCGGCCCCGTTAGCGAGCGGGCGCTGGCAACGGCGGCTGTCGTTTGCATCAGCGCTCGCTGCCGCTGCTCCTTGCGGCCGCTGCATTTGCAGTCGGCGGCCGCCGGGACCGTACGGTAATGACTGTAGGGAGCGCGCCGCTGCGGCGGCGGCGGCAGGTTCCCTAGATCAGGAAATTAGGGCAGGCACCGGGGATTGGAGGCGAGGGCGGCGCGCGAGCCAACCAGCGGCCGCCCCGGGCCCCCGTGAGCCCCGGGCGGACGCGCGGAGCAGCCGGGCCCCGGGAGCAGTCCGGCTGGCAGCGGCGGCCACGGCCACGGCCACGGCCACTCACGCACGCACACACACTCGCACACCCCCTGCGCAGGCACCTGGCTGCCCAGAGCTTGTAAGAGCAGCGCGTCGAGGGGAAAGGAGGGCTGAAGCCGCCGCTCCCCCCACCCCCCACCCCCGCACACACACCCCTCGCTGACCACTCCCCCTCCTGCCCCCTCCTCGCTGCTCACCCCGCGCTCCTGCAGCCGCCAGTGTGGGTGCTCCGCGGCCGGCTCCGCTCTCTTCTGCCTTCTCCTCTGCTCTCGGCTCCCCACCCCCTCCCCTCCCGAACCCTCCCCTCCTCTTCCCTCCCCTCCTCTGCAGCGCCTGCATTATTTTCTGCCCGCAGGCTCGGCTTGCACTGCTGCTGCAGCCCGGGGAGGTGGGTGGGTTGGCTGGTGGGGAGGAGATTGTGCAAGTTGTAGGGGAGGGGGTGCCCTCTTCTTCCCCGCTCCCTTTCCCCCTTTCTAACTCCTTTCCCTCCTCGTCCCCCTCCCCCTCCCCGCCCCCACCTCCTACCTCCTTTGCGAAGGGCTGGTAACTTGTTGTGCGGAGCGAGCGAGCGGGCGGCGGCGGCGGCGGCGGCGGCAACGGCACCATCCAGGCGGGCACCATGGGCACGTCCGCGCGCTGGGCGCTCTGGCTGCTGCTCGCGCTGTGCTGGGCGCCCCGGGAAAGCCGCGCCACCGGAGCGGGTGAGTGAGGACGCGCCCCTCCGCCGGCTGCCCGGACCCAGCCGGGGCGCCAGGGGGCCCCGAGGCGCGGGTCTCCTTTTGCCCACCCCCCTCCTAGGAGGCGCCTCTCCGCTCTGCTCTCCTCTTTCCCTCCCAACCCTGGTGGCGCCTCTGAGCTGACTGTCAGCGCCGCGGCTACGGGGAGCCGGGCTTGGGGGACAGTGGGATTTGGGGTGTCCTAAAGCCTTGCCTGAACTAGTCTTCATTCCCTTACACTCTGTCCCCCAAAGTCACTGTTTTGCCTCGTTTTTCACCCCGCTTGGCCGGGGCTGGGGAGTGTGGGCTTCTGAGCCACTGAACAATGGTTCTGTCTGCTCTGCCAGGCGGAGTGTTAGGAAGGAGGCAGAGGGCCGGGTCGGGCCGAGCGGTGCGCGGGAGCCCGGGGCACGCTCCCGGGACTTGAGGGAGGGTGGGAGTGCTCGGTGGACGAGGGTGGGCGCCTCCGGGGACGCGTGGCGCCGGGTGCGGGTCCCGGCAGCGAGTCCCTGGTGGCGGTGAGCGGGCGCACGTTCGATGGGCGGCAGCCGGAGGCTCCAGGGAGCCGCTACCAGTGCGCAGCCTGCGCACCCGGACTGCGACTGCCCAGGCGCCCGGTGGCCTCTCTGGAGTACGGGTTAGAGGACGAGTGCGGTTTCACATAGTACTCCCCACTGGGTGTTTCACCCCTTCTCCCTCCCCACCCCTCCCCCCGCCCCCACGCGCCGTGTTTGTAAACCTCCCGGGTCTCCAGTGTGGCTGAGCGGGGGAGGGGAGCGCAACGAAGACTTAATCAGGTTAGTTTGCTGATCTTCGTTCCCGGTGAGATTTCCTCGAGAGGAATTGAGTCCTAATCTAGTGACTGTGTAATTAGCCTTCATTCCAAACAATAGATCAAAGGGAGTAGCGCGAGAGCTGCTGTGTGACGCTGGGGACTACTGTCGAGTGCCCAGGGTCTGCCGCACTGGGCCCGGGAGCCCTGTCCTCAGTCACTCTCCCAGTTGGAGCCGCACAACTTTCCTGGGCAGAGGACAGGAAGCCCTTCTGAGGATTCGGTCAGAGTCCCGGCGCGTCCCTGAAGGGATCTTGGACGTTACTCAGAGGGGCTTGATGGCCAGCTCCAGGGAAGTGGGACAGAAAGCTGCCCGCGGCCTGAGTACCCGTTCCAGAGTCCCTAGCTCCTGCCGCCGGGTGGCTTAGGAGGCCCGCCTGCCTGCAGTCACGTGTCTCCCGAAGTGAGCCAACTTTAAAGTGTGTGGTCAAGCAGCCTCTCGGGCCATACTTGGGGGTTTGAAGCCTCCCCGTGCCCCCTGCCCTTTGGCTCCGACTGTCCCGAGCAAGCGAGCGTGTGAAGCTGGGACGGGCTTTTCTGCCCTCTGCGATTGGCTGGCCGCCCGATCACGTTTGGGTTGGTCACATGTCTCCGCGAACTCAGAATATAGCAGCCTGAGAAGTATTATCTGTAAGGAAACGTGTAACACCCGACAGGCTCCTTCGCGCTGTTCTCTCAAAAGCTTTCCCCCGACCTGGACCCCTTGAAAAAGGCGAGTCGTGGAGACAACCTCTGATGTGTAACAAACCTCAGAGCCTGGAAAAGGCCTGCCTGCAAGAATTTTCAGACTGGAACATTAATCATTAATGGATGAGCAATACTAACTTATTAAATGATTTCTCAGAATAGCACCATGACTTGCATTATACTCTTCCTAACATTTCAAAAGACTAAGGTACACCAGAAACTATTGATAACCTTCCCGGAGGTGAGAGAAAGATTCATTTTTGCTGCATGTTCTCTCCGTATCCTTTTGATTTAACATGTAATGACTTTCCCTTAGAGGTTAACTTTATCGGATAGAATGCTGGGAATGCCCTTGAACTGTTGAAATGAGTTAGTGGAAGCCATCTGTTGGCCTTGTATTAGGTAGGTGAGGGTCCCTTTGGCTCCCCTATGTCACGTGTGAAATATATGACATGCCATGAATAGTGAAAAACAGAAGCCCATGCAAGACTTAAATTCTTCAAAGGAAAGGCGGCGCATCATTTTTCAACTGGATAGAATCTGGGGTTGGCTGGCGAGGTATTGATCTTAAGCCAACCCAGACTGACTCCTCTCTGAATTTCAAAGCCCCAGGGTATGTGGGTTGACTTTCTGGTCCTGGTGTGGTATACATCCCTTCTTCCCAGCCCCTCCCCCCAAAACCCGCTCGTGGCACTGGTCTAAAATACTCGAGGACGGGGCAGGGATGTTCTAAGATCCTGACCGGAAACTTCAACCAGGCTAACAAGATAAGTTGAAATTCAGTAGGAGTATACCTGATTGCAAATCCCTGGAAATTCTAGTACATTTTCCTCCAGCCTAGGTAGTCAAAATTAGGGTGTGGGATACCACATTTTCATTAAAGCCAAAGCCTAGAAAAACCAAGGTTTTAGGAGGGCTATTCAGATACGGCTAGCAGCTAGCAAAAGAGGAGACAGAAGCTTCTCTGACTGTGGGAGTAGACTGATGAAGCTAGCAGTACGAGAGACCCGGAGGGAGAGGAGAAAATAAACTTGACTTCCATCCCGTAGCACCAAGGGAAAGTGTGACAGCGAACCCAATCCTCGTTCAGGCCAAAGAACGAGCATGTGAGCCCAGATCCTTTAAAGGAGGATCACCAGGCAAGTGACAGCTTCCTGAAGTCTGAGCAGCTCCCTTCCATGAATTGGCCTGTTGCTCCCTTGATGTGACATTTAGCTAGAATGTCCGTCCCGTGTTGTTTTGATTCTCTGCTTTTACTGCTTATGTCCCCAGATTCCTCATGCATGTATAAACGCCAGGCTCAGTAGCACAGCCCAATATTAAGACTTTACCATGATCAACTGCATGTTGAAGCACTAAGCATTGCTAGTAAGGTTAATTAGAGCAGTCTCCATGCTTCAAAGAAGTGAAGTGCTGATTTAAGTGTTTCTGCCTTTCATAAAATTGAATAACCATAACTTTGATTTCACAGTTTTACTACCATTTTAGAAGCGATGAAAAGTAGCTACAAGCCCCTTCGATTCCAGAAGTATCAAACTGGTAAGACTTCACAAGAACTCCCAGAGTAGAACATGGCCATAATCAAGGGAACAGGTAGCTCCCAGGCACATGGTTTTGGGTTTTGATCCAAAGGCCGAAAGACTCAGAGCACAGCATAGACATAGAAATAACTCATGTTAAAAATCTAGATCGTTTTCTATTTCTTACAGAATGTGAATGAAGCTGTCCTTTTTGGTAGAAGGAAGAATGATCAAGGATAGGCAGTTACCTCTTTGACTTCAAGTTATAATTAAATTTACTTTGGGTACTGACTGTTCTTTGGAAAGCCACGTTCCCATACTAGCCTATGAGAAATCAAATGCCTCCAAAGGCTATGATAAGGTCTGCAATGATGTTTATGATAAATGTACCTGCCTTAGGAGCGCTGCTCAGGGTAGACTGCTCTCCAGATGGTTAGTCAATAGACTCAAAATTGCTTAGTATGTTCCCTTCTACTATAAGTTCATCCCAAGAGAGTTCTTAGGGCACAGCATGGAGACTACTTCCAAGATCAAGTGTCCAAAAGTACCTTCTGCAGAGGTGATGGATGAGATGTACCTGTTGAGCAGAAGTGGTCCAGGGACAATTTTTTGTGCCCAGCTAAAGAATTTTTAGCTAGCAAATTTGAGGACTGGTAGCTTTTTAACTTTCAGGCTGAGTGTGACTCAGCTTGAGCAGAATCTTACTTGATGATTTCACTCTGTATATTTCAACCTGAATCGGTGTCTCTTTGCTAAGCTGTGCTGTTGGCTTAGCAATAAAAACTCTTAGCATGGTTAATGCCACCTAGTTAGATACACTAGCCATGCTACAGGAACTAAATCAGATAGCAGGTGATACCGTAAAGTTAGCATACTTTCTCCTTCATGTGATGTGTCCTAGGAAAGCTCGGGCCTGCTGGTTATTCGGGGGCTCTAAGTTAAGCAAGAGCTTGCCTCCTGGGTACCACGAGATTAAAAAGGACAGATTATGCAAAAAAAAAAAAAAAAAGTGGGGGGGTTCTTAATGTTTGCTTGCAGAGCCTTTGACTACTTTGTATTTTAGAAATGCTCCTGGGTGGGTGGAATGGAGGAAGGATACGCATGCTCTTGCATTTAAGAGGTAACTTTGAAGGCAGAGACTTTAAGATGGGACCACTGGCTGGAGTGGTTGATCTTGCCATCAACTTGGGGCTTCTGGGTTGGGCCTACTGGCTAGGAGCCTTTATGCATATAGATGTGGTTTTGGGGGGCCGGGACAGGGTGGAGCTTGCGATTTGCCAAGCAAGGGAGATGATAAAACCTTAGTGATAGACAACATTTGCAAATTACTTCCCGTGTTATAACTTAATTCTTTTCCCTCCAAACACAATGAGGTAATAGGGTTCCTATTTTATAGACTGCCTCTAATCTTTCATTTTCCTAAGAAGCCTTCCCAAGATCTGAGTTATTAACTGATCTGTAGGTTAACGAAGTAGGTGGTAGACTGATGTCAACATTTCTTGTACTTCTGCTTAAAACCACTTGACATCCATCTACTGAGCACCTACCATGTGCCATTTGGCACCACCAGGCATTGGGGGGGGGCGGGGCGTGGACACAGTAACTAGGGGGTTGGTCCTTTCTTTTACGGCATTTGGTCTAGTGGGGAAGTCAAATCAAGAAATCAATGCTCCAAAGATAGCCTGGCACAGAAGCGCTGGAGAGGAGTGAGCAGATCCAACACTGAAGCCTTAATCATAAAAGAGGCAGATAGCAGTTGAAGGTTGCCTGAGTTCCCACCTGCTACCTCTGTTACACAGTGTTTCCCAGTTGTCACCAAGAACTTAGACTCTAACGTGACAAAGCCAGATGCTACTATTCCATCTCCACAGATGACCTTACAAAAGTGTTCGGATTCGAGCCAACGATGGGTTGCTACCAACATTCCCAAAGAGCACAAAAGCAGATCCCAAGTGAAATCCAGGTCCCACACATCAAATTTCTAACTCTACCAGTTAGCTGCTTCTACTCTTCCCTGTGTACCAGAACCTCGGTCCTCACAGGAAAATGAGGCCGACACACCCACACGGACACACTCACTCTGACAGATCAGTATGGGAAAGCATACCGTTTTTAAATGATCGGGTGGCACGAGGATGATGTGCAAGTGCCCCCACAGGCATAGGAAGCAGTGGACTTTGTAACGTAGAGTCTTCCAAAGTTTCTAGCTGGTCAAACAACTGGTCACACGTTTCAAGTTCAGAAATGCTGGAAAGAATGCCTTGGAAAAAGTCTGTAGTTCAAACCAGCTTTATTAGTGAATTAATAAATCAGTTGAGTCATCCAGGAATACTCACTAGTGCCCAAAGACTCTTGAGACGTCAGGAACCTGGTCCCAAGTTACAAAGATAAATTCCACGCCCTGCCTTATGGGGGATCGCCACTTGTAGAGATGGAAACAGGCAGATAGGGCAAGCATCTCTCAAGGGGAGACATCTGTGCCAACTCCAGGAGAGAAGTACACAGGAGTGACAGGAGCAAACCAGGCCTGGGGAAGTGGGTGGGTCCCTGGGGGTACTCTGAGCAGATGGCTGGTGGGCACCAATAGGGAAAAGTTGGGGGAAGTAGGTGGGGAACTAGACTCAGCCCTAGGTAGGGCCAGTGAGAAGCCCAGAAGTGATCCCATCCTTGGCCCTTCAGGCCATTCTAGGTTGCCTGAATCGCCATCTTGATTTGGATAGAGAATGTGGCAGCCTGGAGACAGGAACAGGAAACAAATTTAGATCAAGTGACGGATGAGAGTCTGGACAGGGCCAGGGCTTGATGACAAAACGTCAGGGGAGAAGAACCCGGGCTCTCTATGAGACCAAGGGTTTAGAGGAAGGGATGGAGCCCCTCAAGGATAGGGGCTTCTGGTGAAGAGAAGACAGATTTTAGAAGAACCTCTTTATTGTGCATGCGTGTTAAGGCATCGAGATACATTTTACCCACCTAATGGGTACAGAGGCTTCGCCTCATGTTATCACCATAAGGTCTGTTGTAAGCGTGGCATTTACCAGCCATGCCCATCTGGTGATGGGGGCCAGGACTATGTACTCTAACCCTGAAAATGACCTAGTCACTTCCATTGTGGGTAGAATCTTACACCTCCTAACCTTCGGGCAGTGCTTTCCAAGTATGGTCAGAGACCAGCAGCGGTCAGTACCATCCGGGAACTTGGAAAGGCAAGCTTGGGCCCCACTCTGCTCCTGCTGAATCTGAAATTCTGGGAGGAGGGGCCCAGCACAGGTTCTAACAAGCATTGTGGGGATTCGGATGCAAATGAGAACAGGAGCACCACTGACCTAGCAGTCTTCCACCCACAGAAACTAATAACTTCCCAATATGCTCCGACTTGACCAAGGTGCCCTAGACTAGAAAGCCAAGCCCTGTAGTCCTAGGAAAAACCTTGCTGAGGATACTCAGGTGGCTTTTTTTTTTTTTTTTTTATGAAAACGGGGCAGGGAGGGAAGACAGCCTCGTCTTTCAATAATAAGACTGTATTAGGATAGTATCATCTTGACAGCTGAAACTACCTAATTCTGGAATGATTTAAACGGACTCTACTACCCAAGTGACCAAAGGCAACAGAATATTCTAGCGGGAAGTAGTCCTGCGTTAGGTGCTCTAGGTTGTGTGCGTGATCAGTGGCGTGGTATCTGGAGCCAGACCGCCCGGGTTCAAATTCTTATTCTGTGCAGGCTGATCTTGGGCAAGTACTATGCTCCCTTATCTATACTCCTCTTTTCTGATACATAAAAGGGGAGCAGTAGTGCTCAGAGCGTAGGATTTAGAATTTAGGTGAATTAAAAGACTGAAGTCTTAGCGCCGTGTTTGGCCAGCAATTGTAAGAACTTATTTACCCTTGATTCTTAAGATCACCTGCACCCAATGTCCGTGGAAAAACTGACAACTGAACTGTAAGATTCACTTATTTCAGTGAGTCAGAAGGATTAGCCAAAGTGTTTAACAGCTTCTGGTTGGTTCTTCCAAGCACTTTAGAGGCTGACGTGAGGGCCAGAGCTCAGCCTTTGTGCCGACAGCTCCGGCCGTCTTCCTTCCTCCCTCCCACTCACTAACCTCCTCTCCAGAGAGAAGAACCACTCTGCTGACTCGCAAGTCTGCTGGTCCTAAAATGAGTTTTAGCCTATGAATAGAAAGATTGGCATTAAAGAAACAGCAGAAGTGAGCCTGACTAAAAATAAATGCCCTTGGCAGCCCCGAAGTGGCAAACCAAGTGGACTGAAGAAATTCCTGTAGATAACAGCCGGGTGCTCCAGCAACAAGGACAGGGCAAGCCACTGGACTCCTCGGGCCTGCAAGTCCTGGAGGAGTGGCAGCCGGAGTCTCTCTCTGCAAGTTCAAGTTCAGGTCTGCACCTGATACCCGGAAACCTCTCTCTGGGAAATGCGTAGCCCATGTGGAAGGCTGGGTATTTACTGGAAGGTCTGTGCAGTTCTCCACAGAAGCTTCCATATTGTTCTTCCTTGTTAACCCTTGCGGGGACAGTCCGACCTCAGCAGGCTGACTTCCCTGTGCACGTCAACCGCTGAGTTTCTTGGAGCCAGTGACCTGCCAACATGGCTGGGCAGCAATGCTCACTCCTTAGGTAAGCAAGGCTCCTGGGACGAGGCACCTTGCCGTCAGTTTGCAGGGTCTGATGCCCGCCCCCCGCCCCAAGCAAGGGACAGAATTAGCAAGTCAGCCTCTGACGCTTCCGGGCCTTCCTTCAATACCAATGCAAATAGCTGTGATGAGGTACATATATGACTAGGTGCAAGGGACTTCCAACCCCCTGACCCAGAGGGGCAGGGATATTCATCCTAAGTATTAGAGCTGAAAAGAAAATGCAGATCGAGGCCAACAGTTTGGTTTCTTAAAGCAATAGAAAGAACCCTTCTCAAATGCTCACACAAGGGCGCCTGGGTGGCTCAGT